CAAAGTAGCTATTCAAACAGCTGCCAATCCTATCTTTCATGAACGCACAAAACACATTGACATTGATTGTCATTTGTGAGGGAAAAACTACAACAACGCCTTATTCAGACTCAGCACATCAACACTAAAGCACAATTGGCAGATATTTTCACCAAGAGTCTTGGAAAGACACACCATTATTTTTTGCTTAGCAAGCTGGGAGTTGAAAACTTATACTTATCCCCGAGCTTGAGGGGGAGTGTTGAGATTAACAGTGATAGTGGTGGTTAGTTTGTTAGTTGTTTATTTGTAGTTATAACTAACTTAGACTATGCTAGAGTTTAGAGTAAGTAGAGTTAGCTTTAGCACTAACCACAATTAGCTTATGTATATATTCATGTACAGATGTATTTGACACCTGGAATAGAATATTACATTTCTCTCTCTTCTTCTAGAATATTCCCTCATATTCATCTCAAACTCGTCTCTGTAAACTGACCTCCTCTTAGCTCACATTGTAATTCAGCAAACCACCATGGCAGAAGTCCATGGATAGTTGAATTCAACATGGTAATCTGACACCTCTTCGCCAAAAAATTATATTATGTAGCAACAATAACAACATCCAGTGTAATTTTACAAAGTGGGATCTGGAAAAGGTAAAATGTACGTGGAGCTTAATCTTACCTTGTGAAGGTAGAGAGACGGTTTCGATAGACTCAAGGTAAAAGTAAAAAAGAAGCATAAAATTACATTGTATAGCTTAGTCAAAAAATTATTTATTCGCATATATACCATATGTTGACGTTCCTTAACTTCTTGGTGTGTTTACTTCAATATATTTTGATACACTTTAGTAAAATTTCTGGTTCCATCATTGATGATGAAGCTCTTTATATGTTCCAATCATAATATACGCATGAGTTTAATTGGTTTTAACTTATTTATACTGAATGAAAGATAAAGATTTTTAGTTGTACTTCAACCGATTAAAAGCAAGTTAATCTCCAAAAATTAGCACAATTGCACGTTAGACTCTTTTTTCAATGGTGGGATATATGAGGATTTAAGAGGGAAGTTTGGGAAGAGGTGCCTAGAGAATTGAGCTGACGGAATGCGACATAGGCACAGGCGAGCTAATACGTTGGTTTTGGGTTTGTCCGAATCCGATAATTTAATTTAGTTTGGACTTTATATTTGTCTAATAAATTTATTGAGTATGTACAAATTATATATTAATTTAAAATTTAATACCATCAAAAATTAAATTAAAACCAAAAACTTCAAATCCTAGCCCCGTTTCTAAAAATAGGGGTAAGAAATCGTCTTTACATTAAGACATGAAATGGAAACATCAAAATCATCCACTTTGACACACTCCAAACTTAAAAGTTATCGGCTTTACATTAAGACATAAAAATCTGTTTGCACCAAAAAAAAAAAAAAATCTGAAATCCTCCTTAGATAAATTTCTTTTGTTTCCTTCTCATTCTACTTGATAAGACAAGTAATTTCTACTTTGTAATTCCATTTCTCAAAAAGTTTAAACAGCCTTACTTTCAAAGTAAACACATATGAAATGCACTTCATAAAGTTCTCGCTAATTCCTAGCTCTTTCTACTTCAAGATTATTCTGTATGGTTTTATCTTCATTATTTTTTTGACCTTTTCCACTAAGTTATATATGTGAAGTAATTGCTAGCACAGTTAATTGCGAAGATACATTAATATATTTCCTCTTTTAGAAGTTCTCACTAGTGAATTTTTAATATCATTTTAGTAGATCAACAATCTTTATCTCATACTCTCGTCAGCCAACAAATAAACAAATATTACAACTTGGAAAAAAACAGTAACGATACATGCTTTTTCCTTTTGGTTGTTGCATTTCATCATGCAGATGAGATTATATATATATATATATATTGAACGTTGTAGACATCTTTCAATTGGATATTGTATAGGGTCAAATTTGGCCCTGAGTATCTCTACGCCAGTAGGTACGCCCAATGAGTGTACGCCGACTAAACGTAGCGGGTACGACTCGGCCGTGAGGACCAAAGCGACGTCGTTTAGAACTCAGCGTCTACACTAGGGAGACGTTACCTATCTCTGTAACTTTTTGATTCTTTCGAGGAAGGTCTCCTATTATATAAAGGGGACCTCCACATTGTNGGTATGATTTGAACCTTTAGGATATGAATTGTAATTTTGTATATGAATTGAACTTTTAGGATATGAATTGAACCTTTAGGATATGAATTGAAATTTTTGTGTATGAATTGAACTTTTAGGATATGAATTGAGCCTTTAGGATATGAATTGAACTTTTGTGGATATGAATTGGACTTTTGTGGATATGAATTGAAATTTAGGATTGCGGGAGGATTTTGTAGAAGGGGTTGATGACTTTATTATACAACACTCATTGACTTTTATACACTTTGAACTAGACAAATAGAATCGGTTTTCGAATGGGCTTGTAATAAGAGTTAACTTAGTTTGGTTCGCTTAATGTGGTAGTTCTATTGAACTATAAAACTTTGTTGGTTTTAATGTTGGTTTTAATGTTGGTTTTAATGTTGTTTTTGTATTGTTGTTGTTGTTGTTGTTCTTGTTGTGTTGTTGTTGGTATTGTTGTTGGTATTGTTGTTGTTGTTGCTTGTAATAGGGATTTGATATGACTGCCAGGTGGTGCAGCTGCCAAAACAGGCAGTTTCTGCCAAAATAATACCCAGAAAAGCGACCAACTTTGGTCTCTTTTTGGTCGCTTTTCTATTAAAAAAAATAATTTTCTGGGCAATAGCGACCAAAGTTGGTCGCTTTTTACCCAGAATTCTCAAAAAGCGACCAACCTTGGTCGCTATTCCATTAAAAAAAAATAATTTCTGGAAATACAGCGACCAACTTTGGTCGCTTATTTTAAAAAAAAAAATTAAATTCTTGAAATTAGCGACCAAAGTTGGTTGCTTATTTTTTAAAAAAATTAATAAAAAAGCGACCAACCTTGGTCTATATTTTCCAGATTTAAATATAATATTTGGATTAGAGACCAAAGTTGGTCGCTTTTTTATGATTAATAATAATAAAAAAAATATTTTTTAATCATTTAGAGACCAACTTTGGTCGCCAAAATTATATTATTAAAATAATAAAGCGACCAAAGCTGGTTGCTATAGTCTTTACCCGGAATATTTGGTCCTTTACCTTAGAGACCAAAGTTGGTCGCTAATTAGCGACCAACTTTGGTCCCTAAAATAAAGGGACCAGCTATATTGCGACCAGGCATGTTTGGTCGCTTTTTGGTCGCTTTTAGGCCTATAAGCGACCAACTTTGGTCGCTTTTTGTGGTCGCATTTTACCGGATTTCTAGTAGTGATTATGGAGCTCCTGCGTATAAACTTTCAGCATATTATGTTGGAACTCCAGCACATTATGAAATTCCACCATATTATGCTAGAATCTCATATGCAAAAAATTCGAATTCCGGCATATTATGCTAGAATTTTTTTCGGATTTTTAAGAGTGTTTTTGTTCAGCTTTTGTTTTACATGAAAAAGTGATTAAATTTCAATTAATTTTGAAATTCTGGCTAATTTTCAAATAGCAATGTCGGAAATATTTGAAGTACATAAATAAATGTTTGAAGTTCAAGCATAAATGTCTAACGTTTGGCTTTGGCAAGTCAAAAATCTGAAGTTCAGACAAAAATCTATATCTGAAGCTTACACAATCAATATGACTTCAGAAAAAATTTATAACTTCCGGCGCCATTTTTTGCAATATGTCTACAGTTAATTCTTGCTAAATTTACAAAAATTTATAAACTTCGGCTATGCCTTAAACATTGGTCCTAAAATTGGCTATCTATGCAGTTGCCCCAGAATAATGAACCTTTGGGGTATTTAATTGGAAAAATGGCATTTTATAGCAGCTGTAAAAATAATAGTTCAAAAAATTTATATCCTTTGTTTGTGTGTATATATATACATTTTGTATGTTATATACAAAAATTATACAAATTTTGTACACTTTTTCCGGCTACCAAATATAAAAAGTTTCTGGCACAGGCTAAAAGTGATAATACCTCTATTTAATTAAACCAACAGTTTTCAGTAAAAAGTTCCCAAAATTTTGGCGTTTGTCTTTTTTTCCTTTTAATTTATTTGGTAAGAGAACAGAATAAAAGTTTTTCCCGGGTAAACATAAATAAAGTTTTCACCAAAAAATAAAATAAATTCCAGCAACACAAAAATTTCTAAACAACAATAACTATCTTGAAAACATCTTTGTTAAGAAACTCCTCAAGGAAAAATATTTCTGTATAGGGTCAAATTTGACCCTCAGTATCTCTACGCCAGTAGGTACGCCCAATGAGTGTACGCCGACTAAACGTAGCGGGTACGACTCGGCCGTGAGGACCAAAGCGACGTCGTTTAGAACTCAGCGTCTACACTAGGGAGACGTTACCTATCTCTGTAACTTTTTGATTCTTTCGAGGAAGGTCTCCTATTATATAAAGGGGACCTCCACATTGTAAAGGCCATCAGCTGATCTAATACAACTCTCTCCTTTTCTGTCTTTCTCTCTCTATATCTCTACTTCTGACGAAAATATCTTATGAACATACATTATCATCTTTGCAGCACTAGATCTACAACAATATTATCATCTTTGCATCTCTAGGTTTATTATATTTGATTACGATTTACCTCTTCTCTATTTTTTGATTGTTTTATCGCTTACAAAGTATATCGTTAACTTTTGAGCCAAACAGATGTATTCTCTTTCTCTCAAAAAAGCAGAAGCAAAACCTGAAGATAAAAAAACAAAAGTGAAGAAACAGACAAATAATTTAGGACTCATGATTAGAAGCATGTCTCTAATTTATAACGTAGTGGAACTCTACTTTTTTATTTAAATTTTTTGGACACCTTTTTTACTTTAATTTCGTACATAGCACCCAAAATAGTCTATGTTCATTTTATTGGTAACCTATACATATAGTGCATGCTAACACATAAACCCGACAGAAGCACAAGAGAGAAAGTAACTCACTCTTCAACAAGAGAAAGACACGCCAAAAAAAACCCACTCTACTAGAAAAAAAGAGCAGGAAAGCAAGAGAAAGACAGAAAAATGGAGTGGAGGAAGTGTTATTTGGATGTAATATTGGTGCCATTAGGTTTTATGATATGCATGGGATATCATGTTTGGTTATGGCATAAGGTTAGAACTCAACCTCTTACTACCATTATTGGAACCAATTCTAATGGAAGGCGTTTGTGGGTTTCTGCCATCATGAAGGTAACTTCTTCTTCTTTTTCTTTTTTGAGCTAGAGACTTTTAGGCTATGTTGTTCAGACTCTTCAAACATGCATTCGAGTACGTGTTGAATTCTCCAAAAGTAGTGCATATTTTTTGGAGGATCCTACACCGATGAGACAATATTTTTGAAGTGTTCAAGCAACGTAACCTTTACGTTGGAAGAGACTTGCATTCAGCAAGGGCTTGATGGTACTATTATCTTGTGATTAAGCCTAGGGGTACAAAAGTTTTTTACTTTCCAGATACTGGAAAACTTCAAAATAACTACACATATACTCATCAACTCAAAATTTGTAATGACATATTATATATGTCTAATTCTTATTACTTTGATTGAATTATTTATAACTGCATATTTACAAGATAGTTAGGCGTGGTGATCAGTTGGATCTTTGGTAATTCACATCTCTTTTGGTTTCATCAAAACTCACAAAACATAAGAAACACCAAACCGCATGTCTGAAAATCCGTTTTCATGGCTTCCTTCTTTTCGATTTTTCTTTTGATGAGGGTTTGTCAGAGTTGTTACAACGTGATAAAAGCATTTCTCGTGTGTAGCTAATACTCCCTCCGTTCCGGTTTATGTCAACATATTTCCTTTTTTGGCTCGTTCAAAAAAGAATTACCCATTTCTAAATTTGGAAATAATTTAACTTAAACTTTCAATTCTACCCTTAATGAAAAACTTTTATAACCACACAAATACTCTGGACTCCTTTTTGACTTGTTTAGGACCACAAATTCCAAAAATGTTCATTCTTTTTAAACTTCGTGTCCAGTTAAACAGGTTCACATAAATTAGAACTGGATGAAGTACTTTGTAACGGATGACGGAAGAAAAGAGAAGCAAGTAATTGCTTGTAATGTTCAAAGTTGTCCTATAATTAATAGTTTTCTTAGATAAAGAAAAAGTTTACATTAAAGGTGTTAGGCTTCCTACTAAGTAAGCTTGCCTATAATTGTGTTTTCTTTTATAAAAGTGGAATGACGTTTAACTTCTAGCTTTAGATTGGCTTAACAGTTACAATTAGTAGAATACTTGATAGAGTTTAAGTTATATACACCGTAAGTATAAGAAATTTTCATACATCATCCGATCATTTTTAAATGTTATAGTATGTAATCTATCTTATTTTCAATATTACAAATACCATATCTTAAGAAGACTTATCTATATATAGTTTGATTTACTTGATAGTGTAGATAATTCTTTATATTGATAATGTGTATAAGTTAAACTCTTCTCGATAAGTTATTAGCTGCTAATAATGTTAAACAAATTACTTCAAACACAGAGAAACCAGGAAAACAACAAAAGAAAAAGAGCAATATATAGACTTCCATTATACGAATTTTGTCAAATTAGGAATCAAGGTGTGATATCCAACTCAACTTCATTATATATATGAAATCAAGCTAATCTTCTTTGCTTCCACTCACTAACCAAAGGGTTTTCATCTTTTTGGACAGTGCCCAATCCCCTATGTCACTACTGATTTACCATTCAATCCTCGTTAAAAATCCATCGATCATGTTTCCTTAACGTACACTAAATCAATTAATCTTTCAATTTAGGGTTTTAAGTCATATGCGTGACAATGTAAAGAGTTATTACATGATATATTTTCATATGCTATAACATGTTAGTACCTATTATTTATTACATGTTACCAATTATTGATTATTATATAGTGATATAACATAGTAAATAATTTTTATACCATTGATCAACGAATGCATAGACTTAAACCAACTTTTTCTTTCCTTTTCAATTCACGGCCTTAAGTTATAATACATAGACACCAATAATATAAATAATTTATATGCTCTCGATGCGATTTAACTGGTTATAGCAGGTTATTCCAGATTATCAAATCAGACATGATATGTGGAGACATATATCTTATAGGTCAAGTTAAAATATATGATAGTGTAAAAAAAAAATTCCATCGTCATTATTGTACCGAATACAAACTCGTTTCGACTTTGCAGGATAATGAGAAGAAAAATATCTTAGCAGTTCAAACACTTCGAAACACAATTATGGGAGCAACCTTAATGGCAACCACATCAATCCTTCTATGTTCTGGCCTTGCAGCTGTGATAAGCAGCACTTATAGTGTCAAGAAACCATTAAACGATGCCATTTATGGGGCACATGGTGAATTCATGGTGGCACTAAAATATGTGACAGTTCTACTCATTTTCCTATTCTCATTCATTTGTCACACTTTATCCATAAGGTTCATTAACCAAGTGAATTTCCTCATCAATTGCCCAGCAGACAATTTGGGAACTGTGAGTCCAGAATATGTCTCTGAGTTATTAGAAAAGGGGTTTTTTCTTAACACTGTGGGCAATAGGTTGTTTTATGCTGCTTTGCCTCTTTTGCTTTGGATTTTTGGGCCTGTCTTAGTCTTCTTGTGTTTTATTACTATGGTCCCTATGTTTTATAATCTTGACTTTGTGTTTTGTAACGCAAAGGGTAAAATGGACCCTTGTGAGAATGGTAACGGTACTGAATGTGTATCTGTGTAAAGACAGTGATACTCCTACTTGACTGAGACTATATATTATCAATATGAATATTGTTGTAATTAATCAGTTTGATATAGTTTGAACTTCGTCCAATCTATATTAATTACAAATATTTACTAAACAACAACCCACAACAATATTAAACCAGTAAAATCTCACAACTAGCATCTGGGGAGGGCAATGTGTACACAGACCTTACCTTTACCTTATGAAGATGGAAAGGCTATTTGCGATAGACCCTCGGCTCAAGAACTATAAATATTTACTGCCTATAACTATAATTAGTGTTTGTTTTATTGCTAGAAAACTTCAATTTCAAGAATCAACTCTATTTTGGAGTTACTTTATGAGTTATTTCATTTATAGCACCCTTAACATTTTGTTCTGGAGAAACAAAACTATCACTTCTACCTTTTGATAGGAAAGAGAATGATGCTTAACCTTAGTGAATTATGGTTAAATATCTAAAATATATTATCGTCTTAAACCAAAAACAACTATACCGATGACTATGTAAGCTAGAAAATTCAATTATAACTGTAGGAAATTTTTGGTCCAACCATAAGGAGTGCTTTAAGGCCCAATTTGGGTTATTAGTTAATCCTATTATTCCCTATATAAGTACACTTATTGTTTACAATAAAATAACACTCTACGCTTTTTCCACGCTCTCTTCTCCCAAGTCAGACGAGAGTTTTAGATTGTAATATAGGGGGTTGCTCAGTAACAACGTGACAACCACCACCGTCCAGTGACTCCAGCCGCGGTTCGTCCGTCTTCCGCTTTCGCTACGCGAACAAGTAAGCTCTCGTTTTACGATTTCCACGTCAATCTAATGGTACCCAATAAGTGCCAAGCCTAACCTCGGTCGAGTAGTGACGAGATCAGGTCATGGCTTTACTGGTTTAAGTATAATAAAATTTAACAGAAAGAAATATCGCGGTAAAGAATTAAATACTGAAACTTTAACCAGGAAATAAGCATAAAAGAAAAACAGCTCAGAACACGGTAATAGCAACAGGGAGATCTCCCAGGATACCATCCCGTAGTCCCAAACGTAAATATGCAGGGGATTTCCCGGATTACCGTTCCGGAGTCCCAAAGTAAATATGCAGTGCTGGGGGATCTCTCGGAATACCGTTCCGTAGTCTCAAAGTAAATATGCAGTACAAGGGATCTCCTGGAATACCGTTTCGTATTTCCAAAGTAAATATGCAGCTCAACCAAACAAATATAACAGTTGCAGCAAGAAACCATAATTTAGGCTAGGTCCAAGTCAAGGAAGAACAGGAAATTTCACTAAAACATGCTGCACAGAGTTCAGATAGGCAGTCAAGGCAGTTAAGACAGTTAAGGCACGTAGGCATGCTTACTAAACAGGATAGTTACATATGCTAGTGTTGCTCAATTAAAGGAAAAACAGATATTTGCTTAATGAAAGGGGTGTTATTAGCATTCATTCTCTATAGGCATGATATCTAATAATCGGACAGAAGTAGACATAAGAGCAGGTAAAATATTTAGTCAAACGATCATGCTTTTGAATAATGTGCAGGTATTAGGCAAGTTGAGTGAAGTGTGTGATTTTCTACAGGCATGGTTTCTAAGTTGACAAAGTAGATATTATACATCTTACAGGCATGCACTCTAGTGAATAACTGAGTAGTCATGCAAAGTGCTCACTTCATGCGGTCTATAACCACGCAACAGTAGACATAGCGTCTGAATAGTAAACAAGTAGGGTGGGTGTGCTTCTCCTAATATTATGATTTCTATAGGGGTCATGTAATCGAATAACACGTATAGCAAACACATTGTCAAGTCGTATAGGCATGTTATCTACCCATGGCATGTAGATTTAGAATTCTACCCATTCCCTTTTCACTAACACCCCAATTGTTTATACAAAGTATTGTTACAGACCCAGATTAACAAGTAAAATAGTAATATTACATGGCAATAGACAGGCCTATAGTTGGGCCAAATACACAACTAAACACCCAGCCTTGTTGGGCCTTCAACATCATATCCAACAGGCTTCAACATAGCCCAGAAGTCATAGCCAACTAAACCCAGAAAACGATCTTCATTTACACACAGAATAGCCAAGACCTAGTAGCCAGAGCTGATCAACAGTCCCAGAAAGACAACCATTTACACAAGCCCATTGGCTTGTCTAGCAGGTGAAAAGGGTGCACAGTTGAGCAATTAGGAAAAGTGGAAAAGAATCTTGGACCCTAGTGCGTCAGAGTTCCCAAGGGCTTCAAAAACCAAGGCAGTGCTCACACTAGGGAGGTTGATAGAGGAGACTTAGGGGAAGGGTTTTAGCTTTCAGCCAGCCCCAGAATTAAACTCATGACAGGAAACAACTAGTGAAAATAATACCAAAGTAATAGGTTTGGAAAAAGCATTTGAAAACTTATAGGATAATCACATAATGAACATAAACTAGCATATTGGCAGGGTAACATATGACAAAAGACAAAGAATCTAGGACTGCGAAGTTAACATGCAGGGTTTGACCAATAAAACCAAGTGATGCATCCAATTTAGAACTTAGAGGATTAGACTATACCAAACTTAGGATTAAACAGTATAATACAAACAGGATCAGGCATCATAGAGAGCATTAGTTAATCACAATATGCAGAAACTCATACAACCATAATATTGGATCCCAAAATTAACATGTAAGATGCTATAGAGTCTAGAGATGAGAGATCACAGAATGCAAATAACAGTAGACTATTCTCATGTGTCTCAGAATGACATCGAAGTTGAACACCATCATAGTTGAATCAAAGTTCAGATACATATGCAGGAAAGAATTTAAACATTATGAGAGTTTAAACACTAACCAGTAGCAAGATTAAAAGAGTGCAGAGTGTAGAAGCAAAACCCCCAAATCCCCGATGCTTCAGAGTTCACAAGAGCCTCGAGAATGGGCTCCGAGCAGTGCTTGCACCGGAGGAGGTTATTCAATAGTTTCAGCGAGTTTTAAAGTAACAGTAAGTGAATGAGAGAGTAGTGAAAAATAGTAGTCAGAGTCCGGGTCCCAAAATTTTTTCTAAGAGGGGTTTATATAGTAGAATCAAACAAGTAAACATGAAAACAAATTATTCAAACACAAATAGGGAAAGATATACTAGAATCAATCAGAATCAATTTTAGGGCATCCAACACATGGAATAAGGAAGTTCAGTGATTTAAACAAGGGACAAAAAGTGACATGCGAGAATCGAGTAGTACTCAAAATAAGGAAATACAAGAGGTTCAACAGAGAATAAGGAAAATAGCATATGAAAATAAATTAGAGTTCGTTTTAAGGTAAGTAAAATCGAAAATAGGGAAAATACAGCGGGTTAAGAAAAAAATAAGGAAAATATCAGTCAAACACAAGAAAGGAATGAGTATCAATGAGATACCAGTAAAGAATAAGGGAAAATCTCAAACCCTAGTTGAGACTGACGCCTTGAATCGGACAAAAAATACAAGGACCGTTCAATATAACATGTATAAAGATGGAAGATCGTCCAGATCTTCATAAAATCAAAGTGAATCGGCCCGTTCTTGAGAGGTAGTTCTTGCCAACAATAGGGCAAGAACTAAGTGATGCTAAAATCATGCGTATAGTGATAGAGTATACGAAATAGGTAAGTAGATCATGGATTCATTCCATGTTTGAGCCGGAATCAGAGAGGATTAAGGGTTACAGCGGCTAGGGTTTGACAGAGAGAATGGGGGTTTTGAGAGAGTTCAAAGGCGGCGTGAAGAGAAATGGGTAGGGTTTCTGGGTGTTTGGGGTAATTAAAAGGAGAGGAAGGATGTGGGTTGTTGATCTTGAAAGATCAACGGGTGGGATTAAAAAATGAACGGGGCGGGTTAAAATAAAACGGGTACCGACCGGGTTATGGGATTGGGTTAATTGTCTTGGACTGGGGGTTATTGGGCTGGTATATTAGGTCTGAAATTGATTAGGAATTTACGCTAGTTTTTAAATACCCAATATTTAGCAAGAAATAATTTATAATATAATTAATAAAAAGCAAAAATATTATTTGTGCACTAAATGATTAAAAAAAATAACTTAACATTATAAAAGTAAAAAAGATATTTTTTGCATAAATAATGTAATTATAATGAATATAGGCTATTGTTGCAAAAATGTGCAATTAGTCTAAAAATGCAAATGTAATTATGAGAAATGAAATAAAATATTTAAAAATATGCATGTTGGTGTAAATAATAAGTTTGGATGATTAAATTATCATAAAAATAATTTTAAGGGTGATTACTAAATATTTATATAATAAAATGCAGAAATAAATCGATTTAAAGCCTTTCAAAATTATGAAAAATGCTTGTATAGGCTTATAAGCTAAATGATGATGCATATGTACCATTTTAAAAGTATATATACAATTAAAAAAAAAATATGAGAGAAAAATTGGGTATCAAAATACCATACAAACTTAGCCGAGCCCTCAAGTCACATCAAACAACACTAAAACCACGAATCACCCTCAAATCCAAACTTTAAAAACTTGAAACTTCAAGAATTCTACAACCGATGCCGAAACCAACCAAACCTCGTCCAATTGACCCCAAATTTTGCACACAAGTCATATTCAACACTATGAACCTACTCCAACTTTCGGAATCGGATTCCGACCCCGATATCAAAAATTCCACTACCGGTCCAAAACTCAAAAAATTCGATTTTCGCCATTTCAAGCCTAAATGAGCTACGGACCTCCAAAACACAATCCGGATACGCCCCTAAGCCCAAAATCACCCTACGGAGCTAACAGAATCAACGGAATTCTATTCCAAAACCATCTTCACACAGTTCCGACTACGGTCCAAATTCTAAGACTTAAGCTCTCATTTAGGGACTAAGCGTCCCAAAACACCCAGAAACTCAAAACGAATCTTCCCGGCAAGTCACAGTAGCAGAAATAGATACGAGGAAAGCAGTTAATGGGGATTGGGGCTCTAACTCTCAAAACAACCGGTCAGGTCGTTACACTCTCCTTAAAATATGTTTTAATAATTAAAATAAATGAAATTTGAAGA